CTGACATTGGTTTCACAAGCGGAATAATGAGATGGTTCCTTAATGAAGGGAAAGTGTTCCCACCCAGCTTTGGAGTCAAGGAGTTTAGTCAGGTGTAGCATTTGTTAGGGGGGGCGTATTATTTTCTAATGGCACCTGGCTTTTCATAGCTGCTGTGGATGCCTAAGAAAGTGAGATTAATCCCATGTCCTCAAGTGAAAGCTACCTTGGCGAGATTGGTCACACCGCGTTTTTCAGGAAGAGAGCCTCACTGTAAGCTGGGATGTGAGGACTTAGGTGTAAGAAATGAATCAGCAGAGGCTCACAAGTCAGCATAGAAAGCATGTTGTGTCTGAGCAACAGACCAGCACTGTGAGATCAAAAGTAGTGGGAAAAATTTGTACAAGTAATAAATCTATTCTGCTAAGAGATCACACATGATTTTCTTCAGCTCTTTTTTTACATCTTTTAAAATATATGAGCCACAAAGGGTTTATACTGAGGGATGTGTGTATGTGTATTTCTGCATGGCTATGTGTGTTTGTGGCGTGTGCATGCCCCCCATTTATTTTTACATGAGATGTGAATTTTGATGAGCAAATAAAAGAACAAAGCAGTAAAGACACTGATATATGGGAGTTCTGCAAGTTGGGGGTAAATTGTGCAGAAGAAAGCTGGTAAGAAGAAAGACCTCTATAGGACAGACTCCTCAGAAACAGATGGTTTGGAAGAGATGGGGAAAGTTTCAGTGAAGACCTGTGTGTTGGATTGCAGCAGAGTAGTAAGGATGGTTCTTAATGAAGGGAAAGTGTTCCAAGCTTTCGGAGGTCAAGGTTTAGTCAGGTGTAGCATTTATTTTGTTAGGGGGAATATTATTTCTAATGGCACCTGGCTTTTCATAGCCCTTGTGGATGCCTAAGAAAGTGAGATTAATCCCATGTCCTCAAGTGTGCAGATTGGTCACAGCATTTCCAGGAAGAGACCTCACTGTAAGCTTCTGGGGGATGTGAGGACTTAGGTGTAAGAAATGAATCAGCAGAGGCTCACAAGTCAGCATGAGCATGTTGTGTCTGAGCAACAGACCAGCACTGTGAGATCAAAAGTAGTGGGAAGAATTTGTACAAGATTAATTGGAAGGCTTACGCAATGGAATTTGTGTATAGTTGGATGTTAGTGCATCTGTATAAGTAAGAGTTTAATGTGATGGTGTTATGGACCTAATGTTTGTCTCCTCACAATTTACATGCTGAATCCCCAACTCCCAACTGACGTTATTTGTAGGGGAGCCTTTTGAAAAGTAGCTAGGTTTAGATGAGCTCATAAGAGCAGATCCCCATCATAAAATTTTTTTCCTTATCAGAAGCAGAGAGACAAGTCATTTCTCTTTCCTCCCAGTGAGGACACAGTGAGAAGTCAGCCATCTGCAATCCAGGAAGAGAACCCTGACCACAAATCAGCCTTCAGAAACGTGAGAAAAAATTCTGTTGTTGAAGCCATCCAGTCTTTGGTATTTTGTTATAGCACCTTGCACTGAGTAACGCAGATGAAGAAGGAGAAAAAAATAAGCTTAGGGTTTGAGTGGACTAGGGACCTTGTTTATCTCAGGTTTACAAATCTCCCTGGTCCCCTAAGTTTCAGTATAAAATACTTACTCTACTACTCTCATCTGTAAGACCCAAATAATAAGCCTGTGCCCTTCTCTCTAATTTTGATTTCTCTTATTTTTACTTAAACATGCTCTACTCTAGCCTTGCAATGTCTTTACATACAGTGAAATGTCAAGTTCTTTATTCTTTTTTTTTTTTCTTTCTTTCTTTTTTTCTCCTCAGCCTCAGAATTTGGCACATGCCCTTCCTTCTTTCAGGAACTTCTTTCTCCAAAAGTCTCTGCCTGGCTCCATCATATCATAAAGGACCCACTTCAAATGCAGTCACTACCATTTCACAATATGCACTTTTTTTTTTTTAAAGTCATAGCAAGTTTCTTAAGCGAGTAAAGAAATAAAAGAATGACTATTGTATAGGCAGAGCACCCCCGAGGGCTGCTAGTTGTTCATTTTTATGGTTATTTCTTGATGATATGTTAAACAAGTTTTGGATTATTTATGCCTTCTTTTTTTAGGCCATATAGGGTAACTTCCTGACATTGCCATGTCATTTGTTTTTATTTTTTTCTTTTGATTTAATTTAATTTTACCTTAAATTCCAGGGTACATGTGCAGGATATGCAGGTTTGTTTTATAGGTAAATGTGTGCCATGGTTTTAATGTTTTTTTTTTTTTTTTTTTTTTTTCTTGTAAATTTGTTTAAGTTTCTTATTTACTCTGGATGTTAGGCCTTTGTCAGAAGAATAGATTGCAAACATTTTTCCATGTTCTGTAGATTGTCTTTCGCTCTGATGGTAGTTTCTTTTTCTGTGAAGGAGCTCTTTAGTTTAATTAGATTCCGTCAGTCAATTTTTGGTTTTGCTGCAATTGCTTTTCATGTTTTCATCATGAAATCTTTGCCCGTGCCTATATCATGAATGGTATTGCCTTGATTTTTTTCCAGGCTTTTTAGAGTTTGGGGTTTTTCATTTAAGTCTCAAATCCATCTGGATTTAATTTTTGGATAAGGTATAAGGAAGGGGTCCAGTTTCATTTTTCAGCATATGGCTAGCTTGTTCTGCCCATCATTTATTAAATTGAAAATCCTTTCCCCATTGCTTGCTTTTGTCAGGTTTCTCAAAGACCAGATGGCTGTAGATACAATATGCAGTTTCTTCAAGTCATATAATACCACCTGAAATCTCTTATTCATTCATTTATTTCAGTATGTAAGCTGGTCTCCTCTACTCACTATAGTGAGGGCACCATTAGACAAAAGAATCTGTCTGTCTAGTTCATGTAAGATTCTCAGAATTAAGAAAAATGGATGGCATATGAAACTTAATGGATGACATATGGAACCTAATATGTACTTGTTGAATTAATACATAAAATGCAACAGGAAGAAGTTGACAACTGCAATGATGACCTGGTATTGATGATATAAGAGTCTATAGATCACACTAGAAGCAATAATCATGGAAAACAACTGGAAACGGGGAACAGCCACAAACATGAAAGAATCAATACTTCCAGGAAGGTGATCGCAGGTTACTTTTCTTGGAGCAGATGAGAGAAAAGTGGAAGTTCGCAGTAACTGTTGAATTCCCGGTTGGCTGATGAAAAGATGGGGCAACTGTTCACTGATATGCAGGGTTTTAGATGTATGTACCTAAGGATATGAGGTATGGCAATGAACAGATATTCTGTTGGGAATTAGTTTTAAGGCCATTAAAGGACATGACCTGAAGTGTCCTCTCAGGCCAGTCCCCACAACTCAATATAAATGTGTTTCCTGCATATAGTCAAGGTTGCCACTTATTTTTCTTCATATCATCGATCTCTGCTCTTAAAGATAATCTTATTGGTTTTGCCTCAAACTCTGTTTGTCACTACAAACTCTCCTCATGTTCCTAAGTAAAACAGATAACTGCCTCTCAACTATATCCAGTAGACTAAACTCCTGTGTCTCCAATATCAGAAATTCAACTTTAATATATTGGATTGAACTCTTTGAAATTTAGAGTCTCCTTGAAGTACACATGAGGATGATCTCCTAAACTTTATTTCTTGTAAGGATTTATTTCAGGGGGAACACACAAACTAGCATCCCAAACCTCTAAGTATGAGGGCAATAAGCCTTAAGAATATAAAATAAAGTGTTATTCTCTCTGCCGGCGGAAGCGTGCCCTGCCTATTCCTGAAATTGCTTGTTTGAGATGCATGAGACGTGCAGCACCTGAGACATGTGCAGCAGTCTGTGGAATATTGGCAGTGAAGAATGTCTCTGCCTGATTAGATATAAAGACAAGTTAAACACATTACAGCATTACAGCATTAGACTGTAGATCAAGCCTGTGCCAGACACAAATGACCTAATGCCCAGCACGGGCCATGAAAACTTCTTCTATCCTCTTGATTGAACAGAGCAACACCCTTCTACCCCAACACTATTAGATGCTCTGGCATAATTTTGCAGATATGTGGAATTTGACATGGACTATTGTTGAGTGATTCAGAGGAAATCTCCTTTGCTCAGATAAGTACACTGACTACAAAACGGATTTTAAAAACATGGTAATAAAACCCAGTTTTCCCCTTACTTCCCTAGTTTGTTTCTTATTCTGCTTTCTTCCAAATGGATGCTTAATAGAGGTGTTTATTTCTATTCTATTCTAAAAAGTGATGAAATTGGCTGGGCACTGTGGCTCACGCCTGTAATTCCAGCACTTTGGGAGGCCAAGGCGGATGGATCACAAGGTCAGGAGATCAAGACCATCCTGGCTAACATGGTGAAACCTCGTCTCTACTAAAAATACAAAAAATTAGCCCGGCGTGGTGGTGGGAGCCTGTAGTCCCAGCTACTCGGAAGGCTGAGGCAGGAGAATGGCGTGAATCCAGGAGGTGGAGCTTGCAGAGAGAGAGAGAGAGAGAGAGAGAGAGAGAGAGAGGATGAAATTGTATACTCAATGTAATCTCAAGAGAATTGAAAACCAAGAAAGGCTGTGACTTCTTCCACATAAAGCCTGGATGAATAACACGTTGTTACATTGTCACAACTCCTGACCCAGGAATTGATGGCTAAGATATTTGTAATTCTTATCCTTTTCAGCTCTAACTTATTCCTATTTGTCAGCATTCAAGTTATTAGCAGCCACTGGTGAAGACTTTGAGAAATAAACTGCACACTGGATGGTGGGGGTAGCGTAGGAAAATGGAGGGGAAAGAAGTAAAGTTTCAAATTAAGCCTGAACAGCAAAGTTCCCCTGAGAAGGCCACCCGGATTCTATCAGAAACTTGAATGTCCATCTTGCAAAACTTCCCTTGCCCAAACCCCACCCCTGAAGTCACAACCCACCCTTGACAAATAGATTCATTTCACTGAGACAGGCAAAGGGCTGGGGGCCAGAGAGGAGAAACAAAAGCCACACAAGAAGCAGAAGTGCAGGTATACTTCTGGCTCATCTATGATCGCCAGGAAACTCCCAGATCTGACACTGACACCGTGGTGCATTTCACTGCTGACGAGAAGGCTGCTGCCACTAGCCTGTGAAGCAAGTTTAGGTGAGAAGGCTGGAGGTGAGATTCTGGGCAGGTAGGTACGGGAAGCCAGGGCGAGGTGCAGAAAGGCAGAAAGTGTTTCTGAAAGAGGGACTAGCCCATTGTCTTACATAGTCTGACTTTGCATCTGCTCTGTGGTTATGACTGTCCCTCAGTCTCCTGGTTGTCTACCCATGGACCCAGAGGTACTTTGAAACTTTTGGCTATCTGGGCTCTGACTGTGCAATAATGGGCAACCTCAAAGTCAAGGCACATGGAAAGAAGGTGCTGATCTCCTTCGTAAAAGCTGTTACGCTCATGGATGACCTCAAAGGCACCTTTGCTATGCTGAGTGACCTGTACTGTAACAAGCTGCATGTGGACCCTGAGAACTTCCTGGTGAGTACTAAGTACACTCATGCTTTCTTCTTTACCCTTAGGTATTTGCACCATGGGTGCTTTTGAAAGCAGAGGTGGGTTTCTCTTGTGCTATGAGTCAGCTATGGGATATGATATTTCAGCAGTGGGATCGTTTTTGAGAGTTATGTTGCTCTAAATAGCATAACTGAAATTTGGTAGAGCAAGGACTATGAATAATGGAAAGGCACTTACCATTTGATAGCTCTGAAAAACACGTCTTATACAAAATTCTGGCCAAAATTAAACTGAGTGTTTTTGGATGAGGGAATGGAAGTTGAGATAGAGGAAATAGCATCTTTCCTTTGGTCACTGAAATTTTCTGTGAAAATTAATAAACACTTTTCTGCATAGTCCTGGAAGTCAGAAAAAGATTAACTAGAAAGATTAATGGGAGGCTTTTAAAAAGAGGATTGTTTCCTTCTGAATGATGATGGTATACTTTTGTGCACGTGGTACAGGGTTCTTTGTTATGAGTGTTTGGGAAAATTGTATGTGTGTGATGACTGGGGACTTATCCTATCCCTTACAGCTCCTTGAAGTACTGTTATCCTATTTTTAAAAAAGGATAGAGTCTCTTAAAAAGTGAAACAATTAATCACACTGTGCTGGGGTAGTGAGTTGGCATAGCAAGTAAAAGAAGGATAGGACACAATGGGAGGTGCAGCGTTGCCAGTCATATTGAAGCTGATGTCTATCCCATAATGGTGAACTTACCTTTGTGAGAATAAGACTGAGAGTTGCTCAAACTCTGGTCAAAAACGAAGTAAGTGTTGTATCTATGTATTGCAAGTCCAGCTTGAGGCCTTCTATTCACTATGTACCATTTTCTTTTTATCTTCACTCCCTCCCCAGCTCTTCAGCAACGTGATATTGATTATTTTGGCAACCCACTTCAGCGAGGAGTTTACCCTACAGATACAGGCTTCTTGGCAGGAACCCACAAATGCTGTGGCTAATGCTGTAGCCCTCAAGGGCCATTGAGTTCCCTGTCCACTATGTTTGTACCTATGTCCCAAAAGCTCATTTCCTTTAGATGGGGGACACTGGGGAGAAGAGCAGTATCCTGCCTACAGATTCAGTTCCTGCATGATAAAAATAAAATAAAGGAATATGCTCTCTAAGAAATATCATTGTATTCTTTTTCTGTCTTTATATTTTACATTGATTCAGCCAAAAGGACCCAGCATTTCTGATGAAAATGAAAACACTGGAGAATGGGAGTTTAAGGGTAGAGAAGATACTTTCTTGCAATCCTGCAAGATAAGAGAGGACTTGTGGGTGGCTTTAGTGGAGTAGTTACTCCTAGGAAGGGGAAATCGTCCCTAGAATAAGACAATGTCTTTAGAGAAAGTGAGGGCAATGGAGGTACTCTTTAGAGATGTAAGAGGATTGTCAATAATGTGTAGAGATATGTTAGGATTCAAATTAGAGATTCTGTATAGGCTATTATTTGTATGAACTCAGGATATAGCTCATTTGGTGACTGTAGTTCACTTCTACTTATTTTAAACAACATATTTTGATGATTTATAATGCAGTGGGGATGGGGCTTCCTAGAGTCCAATCAAGGGCCAAACCCTGAACTTTCTCCTAATGTCTTCAATGGTATTAGTGGAGAATTATCTCTAAGGCCTGTGAGCTGGCTGCCTTGGTTTACATCTGTAATTCATCTGCTACCTCTGTGACCTGAAACATATTTATAATTCCATTAAGCTGTAAATATGGTAGATTTATCGTATTTATTTTCCTTAAAGGATTTTTGTAAGAATTAATTGAATTGATACCTGGAAAGTCTTTATTACACTACCCGATAAATAATAAATCTCTTTGTTTGGCTCTCTGTTTCTATAAATATATACAAGTTTTATTGTTTTTGGTGGTAGTGATTTTATTCTCTTTCTATATATACATATGTGTGCATTCATAAATATATACAATTTTTATGAATAAAAAATTATTACCAATCAATATTGAAAATAACTGATTTCTGTTGAAGACAAAAGTCTTGTTTATGTGAGTAAACAGCAGATTAAAAGGCTGAGATTTAGGAATTAGCATGTTAGGTCAAGTTGGTAGAGGAGAATATGGACATTTAAAAGAGGCAGGGTGCTATAAAATTAGGGAAACTGGATGCAGAGACCACATGAAGCAAGAAAAATGGCTATTGTTTTGAGCAAAAATCACTGAAAATTCTTGCATGTAAGAGTGACATAATAAATGGGGAAATGTAGGAAAATTGATTCACATGTATATATATAGAACTGGTTAGACAAAGTCTAACTCAGGTATAGTCAGAGGAGCTCCCTGTAATTATATTGAGGTGATAGATAAAGAACTGAAGTTGATGGAAACAATGAAGTTAAGAAAAAAATTGAGTAAGAAACCATCATGGCAGTGATTGCACAGAACTGGAAAACATTGTGAAACAGAGAGTTAGAGATGAAAGCTAAAAATCTTTGCCTGTGAATGAAAAGAAGGAAATGTATTGACAGAAGAGAAAATGCCTACAAGCCCCCAGTTTGAATCTGACAATGAACATAGCCATTCTGTGGCAATCGCTTCAAACTCCTATACCCAAGACCCTTAGGAAGTATGTAACACCCTCAAACTGACTCAAAATAGGTTTTAGAAGATATAATATCCTTTCTTCTCCAGTTTCACTAATCCCGAAACCTCTTTCTCAAAGTATTTCCTGTATGTGTCCACCCCAAAGAGCTCGTCTCACCATATCTCTTGAGTGGGAGCACATAGATAGGCGGTGCTACCATTTAATAGCTTCTGAAATTCCTTTGTCAAATTTTTGAGTCCCCACTAATAACCCACAAAGTAGAATAAATAACAGTTGCTCATGTGCAATAATCACTCAACTGCTGTCTTGTAGCATACATTAATTGAGCACATTCTTTGAATAATTACCGTGTCCATTCACACTTTAAAATTTCATACTTGTGCTATCCCCTGCCCTTCTGAATGTCATTCTGTATTTTAAATTAAGAGACAAGAGTTCAATTTCCTGTGTTATTCACTGTTCATTTCTTGCTGAGCAGTTTTCACATTCACCTTTACTGGAAAATATGTAAGTACACATCTTGACACACAGGAAAAATATACCAAACTGACATGAAGCATGAATGCTTGTGCATGTAGTCATATAAAATCTTGCAGCAATGTAAACATTCTCTGATACACACATACAGATGTGTGTATATGTCTGTACAATTTCCTATGCTCCATGAACAAACATCCCATGCACACATAAGAACACACACTGTTACAGACGCATACTTGAGTGCATTGACAAAATTACCCCAGTCAATCTAGAGAATTTGGATTTCTGCATTTGACTCTGTTAGCTTTGTGCATGCTGTTCATTTACTCTGGGTGATGTCTTTCCCTCATTTTGTCCTGTCTATCTTGTACTCATACTTTAAGTCTTAACTTAAATGTCATTTCAACTAACAAGTTATTTTTTTTTTAATTTTAACTGGGCTAAACGCCCTGTCTATAAACTCTGCTATAATTATGGGCTCTTTCTTATTATAATATTTAGGATTTTTCTTACTAATATACTTAATCTGCTCATTGTGTATTCCTACCACTAAATATTAACCTCTTTTATGGTAGAGACATTGTCTTGTAAACTCTTATTTCCCTAGTATTTGGAGATTTAAAAAATGATTAAACTATCCAAAAATTAGATCTCTCTTTTCTACATTATGAGTATTACACTATCCATAGAGAAGTTTGTTTGAGACCTAAACTGAGAAACTTTTGGATCTAAAATGACTATGTGATATCTTAGTATTTATAGGTCATGAGGTTCCTTCCTCTGCCTCTTTACAGTTGTTCCTTCAATCTCCCTTGCTGTAGTTTGATTAGTCAATGAGTATGTGTCATGCATTTATTCACATCAGAATTTCATACACTAATAAGACATAGTATCAGAAATCAGTTTATTAGTTTTATCAGTTAGGATCCATCAAGGAAAGCACAAACCACTATCAGTTACTCAACCTAGAATTAAATACAGCTCTTAATAGTTAATTATCCTTGTATTAGAAGACCTAAAATATCAAATAAAGGACAGTGCAGAAATCTAGATGTTCGTAACATCAGAAAACTTTTTCCGCCATTAGGCCTAAAAGGACAGAAGGAGAAAATGTTTATACCACCAGCCAGAACCAGGGGTCTACTGGATTCAATGAGATATTGGGGGGTCCTTAGAGAGAGCCAGAACTGTCTAATGGGGGCATCAAAATATCAACCATAAAAAAGACTGTCTGCTGTAGGAGATCCCTTCAGAGAGAGAGAGCGAGAGGAGAGAGAGAAGGCCAGAAATAACTTGCTTATGCTTTCCCTCAGCTAGTGTTTACCATTGCAGAATGTACATGGGACCAAAAGGGTGAGTAAACCTGGGAAATGTCATTTCCTCAAATACAGAGAACACTGAGGGAAGGATGAGGAATAAATTTGAAAGCAGTGTGGTAATTGACAGAAGGAAACTAGGATGTGTCCAGTAAATGAACAATTATAGTGTGTAATGATTATTGCAATGATTAATGTATTGATAAGATAATATGAAAACACAGAATTCAAAGAGCAGTGAACTGAGATTAGAACTGTGGAGAGCACTGGCATTTAAGAATGCCACTTACACTTATAATGTGTCTCCTAAGCATTGTTCTGTGCATATGAATATATTATATCAATATTCATTATCTGAACATTATAAATTAGGTACAAAGAGCAAATAATTTATTTTTTCAGGTTAGCAAGAATGTATTATTATTATTATTATCATTATCATTATTTGAGACGGAGTTTTGCTCTGGTTGTCTAGGCTGGAGTGCAATGGCATGATCTAGGCTCACTGTAACATCTACCTACCAGGTTCAAGTAATTCTCCTGCCTCAGCCTCCCAAGTAGCTGGGATTACAGGTGCCCGCCACCATGCCCAGCTAATTTTGTATTTTTAGTAGAGAGGGGGTTCCATGTTGGTCAGGCTGATCTTGAACTCCTGACATCAGGTGATCCACCCACCTTGGCCTCCGAAAGTGCTGGGATTACAGGTGTGAGCCACCATGCCCAGCCAAGAATGTGAATTTTGTAGAAGGATGTAACCCATATTTCTCGGACCCTAGAGTCCTTAGTGTTTCTCCCATACCATGTGGCTTATCCCCCTTGCATACATTTCCCATCTTTCACCCTATCTTTTCCTTTTCGTTTCAGCTTTTCACTGTGTGTCAAAATCTAGACCCTTATCTCCTATTTACACTGAAACCAGCAGCAAGTTGAATTCCATTCTAACCAACGTTGATATTATGCTAATTAAAATCCATACTGAGTTCTAAAATCACTGGGGATTTTGGGGACTATGTCTTACTTTGTACTTCCTTGAGATTTCACATTAAGTGTTGGTGTTCATTAAAGGTCCTTCATTTAATTTTGTGTTCGTCGCACTCTTGGATTCACAGTTATATCCAAACTCTTAAATATAGCTTGTATAATCCCAGTTCCCAAGTCTGATTTCTAGCTCTGTCCTCTGACCTCAGTGCCAAACCCATATATCAAACTATGTACTGGGCTTATTTGTATAGATGTCCTATAGGCACCTCAGACTCAGCATGGTCGTTTCAGTTTTTATACTAAAACTGTTTCTCTTCCAGTGTTTTTCATTTTAGTCATTGGATAGCTACTTGCCCACTCACCAAGCTCAGAGACTTAAAATCATTTCCTTACCTCTAATCAACAGTTCAATTCTGCTTGAATTTGTCCCTGTCTATTAATCACTGCTCTTACTGCCCACAGTCAGGTCCTCATTGTTTCCTGGACAAGAGTAGATGCTATTCTTTCCATGTCAAGACCTTATCCTGGCTGGATGTTGTGGCTTAGGCTTGTAAACCCAGCACTTTAGGAGGCCAAGGTAGGCAGATCACTTAAGGTCAGGAGTTCGAGAGCAGCCTGACCAACATGGTGAAACCCCATCTCTACTAAAAATATAAAATTAGCTGGGCATGTGGTGCATGCCTGCAATCCCAGCTACTCGAGTGGCTGATGCAGAAGAATTGCTTGAACCCAGGAGGTGGAGGCTGCAGTGAGCCTAGATCGCGCCATTACACTCCAGC